CAGTCTTAAATTCCAATAATTAGTTATCTGCTAACCACATGATTTGATGCAAAATTACACGTCAATGAAACCACTCGAACATTTTTAAAAAGTTCACTATTCATATGTTCAGCAACCAAGAATTTGCAAACTTTTACAATAATTAATCGAGACCCGGATCACCCGGAGTACTTAATCTCACTATCACTCTTTTGTACAGTCATCACCCGTCTCTCTCTATAATAGTAAATAAACAAGCAAATTCAAGCCTTCGTCTATTAGTCATTCGAAACTTGTAATGCGAGTGCCGTTCTTTAAATTATACCAAATCTCTTCGTTTTTAACTTTCGTTTTGAGAGTTAGAAAACTTTGATATAAAGGTGCTTCTTTCGCTAAGTAGTAAACGGCGAGCTCCCACGCGTCTTTACTAAAATCCCTAAATACGTCCACATTCAATCGAATTTTTTGAAATTTACTAATACCTATAATATTGGCCAACATTACCGCGCGCTGTCCAGATGTGCAATACCTTCTCCAGTTTACAGCTTGCAAGGGCTGCTCCAACAAAGATTGCTGTCTTACTTTTTCTAAAAGATCGGTTACCAACTCTGACATGCTATTATAATACAAGTCTCCTCTTTTTTCGTTTCATAGTCAGGGAATTTTTTCTCGTATAATGACACCAAATCGTGGTCCTTTAACAACCGGTTGCATATATATCCAACCATATTTCTTCTTTCCCATTTCGTGTCAGTCCATGAGGTTTGGATCCTAGCCCGAACACCAGAAATCTCTCCGTACAGTGTTGTTAAGATGTTTTCGTCAGTCCAGTTTTTCTTGTCTTCGTCAGTCCACTTTTTCCTAAAGTCAGTGGGACTAAAATCTTCATAGTCAGCTTCGAGATCTATAACGCAATAAAGAATGGGTTCAAATATGCTCTTTTGTCAGCAATTTTCCTGAGTCTATACCTGCCACTTCCTCAACTAACTTGTTCCAATTTTCAGAGTCTGTATCTTCACTGGACATTCTTTCCATGTATTACCGGCGGCACATTTATATAATTTACCGTTTTCGATTTTGAAAATGTCGTCTAAAAGGTCGTCAATGTTCATGTTGAAAGG